ATGTCTTTGTAGGCATACCTTGGCACTCCCTGTGTTGAGAGTCCTACAAAGAGGAGTTTTCACAGCCCAGAAATAGAAGGCTTTGGTTCCTACCATGTGGTAGTTGCCTTAGACATACATTTCTCCTTGAGTAGGTTGGATTTGTGTGAATCTTCTGAGGATCTACCAAGTATGCCCTAGACTGAAAATTACCCTAGAAGATGACCCTGATCTGTGCATTCTAGAAGCCAGATGGGGGAGGGGGGATCAGTGAGATTACTCAGTAAAACAGGTTTTGTGGATTCCCAGAAAAAAAGAAGTGTTCAATTAACTTTCAGAAAAAAGGCTGCCTCATTTGAGGACTCTGTGTCTCTTTGCTGTAGTGAGTCTCTGTGAGTGTTTCAGGTCTCACTGCACAGAAAGTGTGCGTTGCTTGGAATGCTGTCTAACGTGAAAATGGAGGCAGGTAGGACCATGGAGGCATGGTTCAGAAAAGACTGGTGTCCAGAAAGCTTGTAATATTTTTATTGTGAGGTGGTTTTATTTTTGAGTTTTATCAAAACTTGCTCCTAAAAAAAAAAGTTTGAAACGTTATGAGTGGTGGACAAGTATGCAGTGAATAAAGGGACAAAGGCTTTGAAAAAAAAAACTTATTCCTGATAATATCTCAGCAAAATAGCAAAAATCTAATGGCTTTCTTAGTGCCACTGTCACATGTAGCTCAGTTAGCATTTTCCTCCATTATCTTGTACTCCAGGTGGACCCTCTGCTACTCTGTGGATTACTTAGAGATTAAAAGCTGCTGTTCATTTCATTTTGCTCACAAATGGTCATTTTAAATAGCTGTTTCTTGCATACGGACACATATGCAAAATTTGAAAGAAGGTTTTCTGGTTTTGTTTGTTTTCAGAAACAGTCTATTGGGTCAGGAAGCCTTCATTTGTATGGGCAAGTCCAAAGAAAACATGGCCAAGTACACAGCAGGAAATCACATCCCAAGGTTCAAAGTCCCCTGGGCTGCTCTCTCATGTCTGCTTGTAAATTACTGTAAATTTCTTGCTTCTATATTGATTTGTTTGTAAATGTTACTGTAAGGCAAGGATGGGGTGATGAAGGATGAGGGAATTTTTTTTTTAAAGTCAAGGTCCAATGATCTGAAAAAAAATCAATTTGGTTTATCTAAAACTAAAAGGAAGTCTTTCTTTGTAGCATCTC